ACGCTCCGTCATCATCCCAATTTTCGAGGAAGCTCCTGTTCGAAATGCGGCAATCATAGAGGGATCAGTCTGATCTCAGTTGCCTCTAAATAGCTTGCGTCCATCATTCTCCACAGACTGACTGGCACTCGTGAATGCCAGATTCGTGAAGAGCAAGCCGGGTTTCGTCCAGGTCGGGGCTGCGTCGACCACATCACCTTGCGTCAATTGTTGGAGCACCGCCATGTTTATTGGCGACCCACCGTTGTTGTGTTTCTTGACATAAAAGTGCCTTCGACTCAGTCGATCGATGTGCCCTTTGGGACTGTCTGCTGAGGAAAGGTGTGCCTGATAAATATGTAAACATTATCAAAGCGCTGTACACGCATACTTCGGTTAGAGTGAGGGCTTATATCAGGCTGTCTCCACCCTTCATTATCACTAGCGGTGTGAGACAAGGTTGCCGCCGTCATTTTTCCTCTTCAACTTCACTATTGATGAAGTTATGGAAACAGTGTTCGCTGGACACGACCTAGAAGCTGTGGAGCTACTTCCTGGTGAGCGACTTCTTGACTTGGAGTACGCGGAGGATATTTTCCTAATCTGTGACATCTCCCAAACATGTCAAGCAACAGTGGACCGATTAGCACTGACTGTCTATCGTTTTGGGCTGTGTTTTGCCCCATCGAAATGCAAAATACTTCTCCAAGATTGGCAAGGACCCACCTCTGCGCTAACGCTTTGTGGTGATAAACTAGAGGTCGTTCAGCAATTCAAGTACCTGGGCAGCTATAGTAGCGCCCGTGGCGTCGAACATGAGGTCACGAACCGTATAGCAAAAGCTCGAGGTGCTTTTGCCAATCTCCGCCACCTGTGGCGCAGACGCCCCGAAGGGCAGAGTTCGTAAGACAGCCGTCCGTTCAACCCTCCTGTACGGTTGTGAAACCTGGACCATCAGATCCACAGACATAAAAAAGCTCGTCACATTCGATCATCGTTGCTTTCGCAGCTTAGTTCATGTCTGGTGGGTGCACCGCGTGAGCAATGAGTGTATTCGGCGTCGCGTATTTGTTTCAGGAATAGCTAGTGAACCGTTCAGCACCATTGTATCACGCACCAGGCTCCGATGGCTGAGCCACGTGTTGCGCATGCCAGCACACCGACTGCCGCGTCGTGCATTGTTTGCGCGTTGGGAATGCCGTTGGAAGAGGAGGAGGGGAGGCCAAACGATGACTTGGTCGAGAGAAATGAGAACCCTCACTTCGAAGTTGGCGTCGGTTGGTGCATCCCGACTGCCTGGCTGGGGTCCTAAGGACGGTGAACACGTTTGGTTGGACACACTTGCTGATATGGCTTGGAGTTAGCCCCAATGGCGTTTTTGTTGTGAGTTCCTTTGTTCATCCCCCTCCTGTTTATCATCCCCCTCCAATTACGATATCATTCGCTAGGCATAATATAACTTTTTACGGCACGATAACCGGCTGTTAGCTCTCCGGAACGATGTCCATCCGTTACTGGGAACTCAGCCGGCGTGCCACCGTTATATTTTTTCTTCTTGTCTCAAGTATTGCGGCACGATAGGTGCGGTGTTTTCCACCTCCAGCTAACGTGTATACTGATGACGGTGATGACATGGTCATACAACAGAGAACCAGCGACTAACTCTCGTAGATTTGACTTGAATTGTTCATCCAGAGTGACCGGGGTTTCCAGGCCGTACAAGTTGGTTCTCTACCAAGAGAATGTGCCTGTAATATCTTTCTAGTAGGTGCCTGGTCCATTTCTAAAATGACGTGTGTGGGCGGTATACCATCGCCACTAAGCGTATATCGTCTTGCCTTAGATGGCCCAGCACCATAAGACGTCCACAGCTTGAATCCCAAGGTTGTTTACGCGATCTATGAGGTCGGAACGGTAGTAAAGAATTACACTGCCTCCCTTAGTGGGTCGGCGGTCGCACAAAAGTGACATACCAGGCAGTGCGATCTCGGCGTCGGTAATCACGTCGTTCAACCATGTCTTAGTTACCATGATGATGTCCCAACACATTGGGACTTGAGGATATCGATGGTCGGCTAATTTACTGAGATGGCCTTACTCATGTGTATACAAACAGTGCAGCCGAGAGCAGCGGATGCTAGAAGCGTGTCTGAACACCTAAACGTTTCCAGGGCATTTACACCGACCTTTGTAGGGCCTGCTGACATTCCTTTTGAATATCTTTCTTACCAGCCCCCCGGAGAGGCCGGTCTCTTGCATAGAGCACCCTCTGCCTAATCCTCCAGAGGCGAATTGTTGCGGATTGTCTTTTCATTCCTCTTTGGATGGCTGGAGAGTTGTACTGCGCTCCTGTTTGAAAATGCAGACAGCAGGACTCGCGACAAGATCTTGCTGGTTTTGTGTTCCCTCAACCAATAGGGGCCTGACGTCGACCGCCTTCAGACGTACCTCTGATGGCAGCTTGGTACGTAACGTGTGCCAACTTCCGAGCACCCTTCCAGCCATTTGTTTGGTGTACAACAGGAATTTCAGCACTCTTAGACCACTTCTTTTATCATTGGAGAATATGGGCACCCTTGACGTTGAGTTGGAAATCATGTCGTGGTGAGAGAGAGAGTGCTTCACGAATGTGTCGGTAATGAGCTTGTCTTGTAATTTGACGACACCGGTTCGAGCCTGCATAGAGGTAGGACGACCCTCGCAGTATCCTTAGCCCGCGTGCAACCGGTGGTGGTTGCACTGCAGCGAAGTGCCGGTACTGCGTACCGGTGTACTGCTGATGCCTGCCTGCCAAGTCATGAACTTGGGCCTGTGCCTCGTCGGATGACTGGATTTCGGGAGAAGCATGCACAAATCTTGACCTTTTGTCCATTTGCTTACGTTGTTCTGTTGGGTTTCGCTTCCTTTGCCGACGCTCACTCCAAGGGATGTCAAGAAATATACGAACGCCGCATGACGAATCACGAGGACGGTGAGCTGACAAGCAGGTGATCTCCGCTTCGTCACCCGACTGAAATGTCACTTGGTTTGCCACAGTGAACTAAGTTTTGGTGGCGGACGATGCGAAACAAACCAGCCTGTTTAGCCTAAATTCCCATTATGTGGCCAATGCTTTCCCATTATTTCAGGTCGTCAGTTAGTTTGTCTTTGATCGGGTTTGCCTTTGACACAGTCAAGTTGGAACATATTATCTTCATCGTATTATGCATGTTCCTATTGTTCACAACTTTGCATAAGAGAGTGCTTCCTTTTATTGGTGGTGTGGTGGGCGGTCTTCTCGGAGGCGCACTTGTATTCGCCTCGTCTCTAACGCTCTTTGGATTAGTTTCAGTTACGCCGGCTAACCTTGCCCTGAGTCTACATACAGCGACGACGGATGCGTAAGTTGTCAGACTTTCGGTAGTTAGATAAACCCCGGGAAAAACCACTGTGCAAACTTGACGTCATCGGGGTTGACAGACCCTGGTTGCCAGACTGCTAGTTCTCGCGGTTTGGGTTGCTGACTACGCTGTTAACTATGCACTGGTTTCGGCTATTCTGTTACACGTTTGAACGTACGTTTGGGCAGCGGAAATCGAGTTCCGATACAGGTGGTTCTGAAGCGACCGCTATACCAGCCGTCGTAAGCTGCACAATCGCTGTCAGTTTGTCACATTTCTGAGCCAGCACGGTGATACACCTTGCGAGTGAGGTGATCCTACCCTCTTTGCAGAACCAAATGGAGTCTTGTGTGCATTGTCGTTCTTGCACTTTCGCTACACTTAAATTTGCCCACCTGGGATGAAATTTCTTATTACAGTTATCGCAATTCGAATAGTCTTAGAGCACGCTTTCGGATTGCAAAGAACTTTTGTCAGCGGCTCGGTGGATCGTGTACACACTTTTTTCCTTGTTGCTGTGTTGCGAGGCATTTCCGAGGCGTCAGTCACATGGGTAACTTGCGGTCGCTCAGCTCGTTGATGCGGACACGAGATCTGTTAACATTGTCCTACGAGTGCGACCACAGTTTTAGACAGAGCGGACTGAAGTCGACGCGCGACCTTTCTGGTGTGGACAGTGGCCGACTGGCTATTATCGATCGGGCCGGTTGGAGGTTGAGTTTTGATGAGCGTGGTAGAATTTGCGCTGGTTTGGCGAGTGTTAGGCAGATGGCTACTAAAAGTGTTGCAGCTATCAAACGGAATGTCCGATTCTTGTGGTAAAGGAATCGCTACATAGCGCCAAGAGCACTCTATCGAATGAGGGTACCAATCGTGATGTGCATTCGAAAATACGGTTGATGTGCGCCCGGCTTTCTGTGGAAATCCCGGATGCAGCCTTGATGTGTGCTAGACAATCCTGCGGTGGTAGATCCAGTAGATAGCGCTGTTAAATCCGAGTTGGATAAGTGTAAGCACAGTAATATGCGTCGAGAATTGCGAGTAGTAGATCTAAAAACAGATGAGCGTCGATTCAGCACGACCACGCGACGTGAGACACTGGTGAAGTATTTGCAACCCTTGAAAGGTCCAGTTATGTTTTGCCCTGACTTTATGATAGTTTACTTCCCGTGCCATAATTGACGCTTACGACGACTCTTTAGCTCAAAATCAACCATACAATTAATGCATTTTTTTTCTCACCTTTGCATTTTCCTTGGTAAGTGGCGTCGAGAGACTTACATAACAGACAATTAATTGCTATGTTTATAGGGGTATATTCAGGGCTTCTGCCACTTCACGTTCTTATCACATTCTTATCATTATCGTTATTATTATTGTCTGATGATCTCATTTGTTCCTGCTAGCCTAAGCCAGCGATCACTGGGCAACTGACTTTCGAGTCGCATTTCTTCTATCCTTCCGTCCACCAGTGGTGTTTTCCGTCCACAGTCTCATGTAGTGATATGCTTTTGTCCTCTGAGCTTCTAATGACTAGCAATCGGCGCTCCCTTTTGTCGAAAGGTGTTTATTTAATTCCTTCTCTTGCCTTGTTGCTTTACTCTCTATGGCTCTTAATCAGCAGCCGCTTTGTATTTTCAGACCCATCTACTATATCGTTTTTCTTACACAAGGATCGAAAAATCGCTTGTTCCTCAGGTGAGCCAACCATTCTATAGTGTTTTCCTTATATCCTCATTTTCCATCCTATGAATTAGCGCTTTCTCGAAACTACACCATTCGAGATTCGTTGTCACTCACATTCCTAGACAGACCTTTGGCAAGATCTAATAACCCCTGGTGCCAACCTATTTCAGTATGCAGAACGATTTCCGTTATTGCTTGTGAGAATATTGACGGGACGTCTTCTGTGTGATTCTTTTATTTTGTTTCTTTTACGACGGTTCCCTAATTTTTGAGATTTAAACAATGACTTCTTCGACAGACAACGGGTCAACATTTTCTCGGCAGCTTACTCTGATCTTGCTGCTTCACTTATTTGGCTTGTCACCGGGCACTTCCGGGAGCTGATTTTACTTGGGCCGTTTTATCTTTTAAGTGTGGATCTCATAGACTACCGGAACTAATCGCATTCGCATTATCTCGCCCTCTTATACAGACGCTTTTCCGCCCCGTAAATCCGTAGCTGCATGTAGCCAGTAGACACTCATTTTGTAGCGATTTACATGCGAAAGTGGGTGGGCGATTGGGAACTGTATGACTTCCTTTATTATTTCTGTTTACTTTGAGTTTATCTTCTTTAAGCGAATTCTTCTCGCAGATGGTTGATCCAAACAGATCAGTTTAATCGAGCGTTCGTGTTTTGGAGTGATGCTACTGCTGTCCTCGATGCATTCAGTGTGCTGCGGTTTTCGACTCACGATGCTGTTCTAGTTAACCCTTTTTTCCTTCTGGTCAGGGAACTGTCATCACGCTAGTGAGTTACTTAACCGGTTGTTTGAAAGTTGCGCCCTTCTGATTGGTTAGAGAGCACTACGAACTTTTGTGCATGCCATGCACACCTGTTGCGGCAGCTTGTTTACTTTCGTCGATAGCGTACATGGCTTAAACTGGTCATCATTACGCACTACCTTTTTTAAACTACCTTATACTGTTCTACTTTACGCAACGCTTGAGCGCCAATAGTAGAATGTGTCAATATATCTTATGTCATCCCACTAAGGGAATCCGACTCAGTTGCTGCTGCTAGTGGTCCACCTCGCCACGTTGCACCAATCACACCACTACATACGATCCTCTCTGGTATCACCTATGCCGCTACTTAATGCAGAATGTGTTGCCATCCCCTTTTCTTGGACAAATGCCTTCTTTCATGTCTTTGTTAATGCCACTACGGGAAATGCGCATTCGGTCAACTGCCATTTCATCCGTGAGTCATATACCTCGTACTTTTATTTCAATTTCATTTTCAAGCCGCCATAAGGAGTTGTATATGAGCTGTGATACTGACAAAACTCCCAAGCCCTTAAGTCAAAGGAGTGATTTGAATCCAAAACGTTTTCATGAAGATCCTCACTACAATACAAGGGCATCAATCCCGTACTCCGGTACCTGGTACAGACGTTTCACTGCCACTCGACCACCAACAGCAACCACCGCATGGGTTGGGAGTATGATGTGAATTCGCGCGCACTCGCACGGATTCGAACCAGTGACCTCCGGATCACAAGCCAAATATGTATGTATGTCCATTTCGGCCACCGGTTGAACGTGGGAACTTCGGAACTTGTTCATAAGGTGACGCGTTTGCAACTGGCATTTTACGTCCCAGAAAGTACAACTTTCCCGATACATCATTATTTCGACAGGAAAGGAACTTAAACGCTCGTGTTTTGTTGGCAACAATTAGCTCGATCCACAAATTTCAACTATGTATGAGTTGGTTTGACTGGATTCGTTTTTACGACAAAGATTCATCGCTTTGCTTAGTCTCTAACTTGCGTAACACGACTCCGACAAGTATCCCGAGGTGGATATCTTTAATTCATTTCACTAGTCCGTTTCGAAGCCCTTTTGTTTCCTCCTTATCCTAAGCCGGCTTTCAGCTACGAGGTTGCAACGAAATGCTGGCACTGTGGTCTATGTCATTACTGGTGTTCGCTCACGAAATCAGTTCGTTTGCTGTTCCAGCATGTAATCACCTCACTTGGTCTACCTGAGTCAAAACGGTGCATATCCTGATACCATTCACGTTCCGATAGTTACCTCATTACTTCGCATATCACGGGCGTTATCCATTTGGTCTACTGATGGCAGTTAGGGCGTCATCGTGGAATTCAGACCCAATCACTCTGCCGAGTGGATTGATTTTAATTCAACCTGACCTGAATTAGCCATTGTTGCTCAAAATATGGCAGACAATGAAGAACCTATACTGATGCTCCTTTCGACCGTCATTTTGTACTGAGTGTTTTTTTGTGCCGCAATTTTCGTTTGTTGCCACTCGCTAAGGTGCATCTTTTGCGGCACTCCAGTGGGTTTTTGACCATTTTCGCAGGATGAGGTTCTTTGTTTCAGGGTATCTCATGTTTTAGTGGGTCCGTTTACTTTTCCCCCTGCTGCACATTCTTTGACGGTGATAATTTACTGTACCTTTTATCCATAGACGAGGCTACCGTCGCTGTGGATTCGGGATCAAACTCGCTTACTTCCAAGACCCATGATCCTTCAAAGTATCCAATTTTACCAAGCCCGAACATCCCTCATATGAATGAGCTAGAACCGGACAAACTCGAATGGACTCTGGAGTTACCAGCAGTTGCTAAAACGGCACCAGGTGTTCATATGGTGCCAAAGGTTGTGAGTCTTCCCCCCCTATTGTCACCTTAGTTAAGTGCTCATATACTGGTCATTCTCTTGTGTTTACCCCGTAATGTCTCTATTCCCGACTGTATAGACACTTGACGCTTTTTCAACCTTAGCAGTAGTACCATATATTTCATGTTCCATGGCACTTTGTGATGTCTATCTTCTCAATATGGCTTCTAGCGGGCTGACGTTTGTCTCCTTTTCCACTCTGATTCGTACATCTTGGCAGTGACGTGTTAAATACTCAACGTTGGCGGGAATTACTATGGCTCCATTGTACGGAAAGGCACAAAACTAACACGCTAGAACTAAGCGGTCTATCAGGAGAGGTAAGAGCAAGAATGTACTTGTTTCAGTGCATGTTCAGTTTGCCTATCCCCGTAGGGAAGTGGATTCTGATGGTACATGGTGGCATCAATTGCGTATCAGTCACGTGTTCAGCCTATGAACTTTAACTGGCCATCTCTATTCCTCCGAGTTACCCATTTTACTTAAAGTTGTTTCATCACCAGACTCGATGTCATGGCCTGTGAGAATTCGATGGTTCACGCGTCAAATGACGCGTGATTTATGCAGAATTGGATGACCCTACAGACGCCATTGCTGTCGCCCGTCTCTCGTTATATCGAACCCTTAGACGTTCCACTGGCCTCTGCCATATGTGAGAGAATAACTAAGTCGCACACTGCTCGCTCATTTTGCTATTGTGAGACACCCAACATAAGGGTAGTTGATTGTCTAAACAACCGTGACCGACGTCACGCAGACATAGGCCAGTCAGTTTCCTCATACGAGGTGACCATAATCGCACGAGCCAGAGACACGACAGAATTGGCTCAGTCTGGCGCGAAGGAAGTACAGTTTAGTTATGGACAAGGGGAAGCGGGTTGTCTGGAGCAGAGCTGGTGAACGTCGCATACGCGCCAACGAACCCCAACTGATGACAAGCGGAGGTACATTTGCCACTGGTCGACTGAGCTAACTTAGGTGATACGCAAATAGCCAGCAAAGAGCGAATTAAGAGCCACCCAAGCTAGTTGGCCATAATCACATGAGGTTGACGGGTAGCGACGAATTGGCGCGACCAGGTTCAATGTAGCCTTAGACAGGACGAAGGTGGGTTGAACCGAACACATCGCGTACTGGTCAGTGAGTGTAAACAAACGACATGATATGCGACAGTGAGAAATTACCTTTGAGAAACCGTAGCAACTAAAGACGCTTCAAATTTTTGTGTAGTATAAATGATTCTACGCTTCAGGAATATTGCGTTTTGATCACCACCCAGACCTTGTTTTGATTCCGTGAGTGCTTCGCGAAGCTCAACAACCTTTACCGGCCTACGATGATTAGTCTTCGAATACACCTTGCTCATTGGCGTATCGCTTCAATACCATTACGATGGGCCGTTGGTCCTTCTACATGAACGCTGCGCTCTCTGATCAGCTACCTCTCACTCCACTGCAATGACAGACTACACCGCAAGCCAAGTATATGTCAGCATCTCATTGACACAAAACTGCTACTGTGCACTATCTTCGATAACTACCAACCGAAATTCGATAGAAACTGCTTTTCGTGGGACTGGTCAACCATGTTAAATGATGCGTGTCTCACTGCATTAAGATCACACTTCTTTGTCTATTTACCTGAACAGTCAACAATTTCGCCACCCCGTTGTACTATTTCTTCGGACCAACAACCTGGACCGCGTCTCGCAAAGTCGAGAAATAAACTATTTATTTATGAACTAAACACAATCTGGTTTTGACCTCCATGGTTACGAATGCGGTATAACATAATCATTTCAATCATTCTTGCAAGTTGACCACTTATTTATCTTTGCAATTGCGCCAGATGTGTGCACTCATGAGCAGCAGTGTACAATGTTTCACAAGATCAGAATGTGGTCTACATGGTATATACGTTGCTCTTCTGTAGAGCTTTTCACCTCCGGGAGCGGATGTATTTTTGTTACTTTCGTGATAATGAGGGACAAGGTTTTTGATAAATTAATATCAGCAATTTGAAGCACTAAGTTCCCTGTATTAGTCTAAATACCACAATAAGAAGACGGGTGTTGCACGATGATATCATTTCGTGCTTTCTGATCACATGGAAACGAGCGGCATTTAATGATCACGAAAGGTTTTTAACTCATGTATTCGCTTCCACTTTAGATTAACTTTTCATGTTTACCAATTGAAATATCATCTCAGTTTATGACCAATCCAGAAAGAACTTTTCATGCTGATACAAATCCTCATTTTCGGCCATCATACCAACTTTCCAGACCTTCGTGACTGCGAGTAGAATAAATAGCTACAGCCGTGGAGTTCCTCGATTAACACTACTTTCCTCACGTAGAAAATAGCTGCCATTCCCTTTCATGATCCGACTGTGATGGTAGTATCAGATCAGAGTGAGCAGCTGGACCAGTCAAGCGATCCAAACTGCCAATGGGAGGCGGACGTGAGGGATTCGATTTTTGGACTCGGATTAGACGGTATTCGTGTGAATGATTCACGGTTTGTTTAACTGAAGCAAAAGTGGGACCTCATTGACTTTGGAGGGTCGTTATTTATGGACTTGAACCGGCAATTTATCTCGAGGAGTTTGGCATGCCAAACATGCTGTAATTTTCGCCGAGCTGTCTTTGCCGAATAAACGCTTGTTTCTGAAGGACTGAGTTCTGCACCATGGTGTCAACAAAGACAGACGAACCCCACCGCCGGCACGCGGATGCTGTTTGGATCGCCAGCGTCTATTCAGATGCATACCCCATTGAACACGGATGAACCGAACTTGGCGACTAATTGGCATCTGTGGAAGATCATGTTGGAGGATTTCTACACCTTAGTACGTTTGGACGAATAACCGATGGCCTTTCGCTTGGGCATATTTCGACACGCAGCCGGGGGTGACGCGCGCCGTCCTCGAAACACACTGCACTACGACAAAGAAGAAGATTTCAATAATTTGGAGACGGTCATTCGAATGTTCAGTGCACTTTATGAAGGTCAAACCAACGAGACCTACCCGCGCTATCTTTTCCTTTCGCACAACAGAGGCCCAAACGACTCAGTCGACGTGTAAATCACTGGACTGAAGATTTTGGCCCGATCCTGTAGTTTATGTAAATGCTTGGGCGACAGTCTCCTACGCGATCGGATCGTTCTATTAATCAATGATGAAAGTTAGACAAATCGGCTTTTGCGCCAACGCAACTTATCGCTCCAGCAGTGCATTGATATCTGCAACATTGTATCCTCGACCACCTATCCATACCAACAAATGAAGCTCGCAGCTGATTCAGAATCTTGTTCCATTTCCGGAGGCGAAAAAGCGAAGACTACTACCGTGAGACAGAAAATCGGCAAATTGTGCACGACGCGACATCCGAGCACCAGCGAATAGTGTCCGGCGTGGGGGCGGAAATGTGCTAGATGTGGAAAAAGAAGCCACTTTGCTTGTTGCTGCCAATCAACCAATGTGAGTGCGGTCGTTCGTGACAAGTCCCTCGCAGATGCAGAACATCCATTTGGCAACGTGACTCGGGGGATACCACAAAAATGTGTCTACGCAAGTCTTTTGATCGAAGGCAAGCCTTACGATTCCAGTTAGACACAGGTGCTATTGTCAACATTCTAGCAAGGAAACACCGTCCCGGAGTGTGCATTCGACCCGATCAAGATTGCCTGCGTATGTGGAATGGTTCCAGACTTCATCTGAAGTGCTCAGCTACAAGCAAAATGGTTTACCCAAGAGATGGAGCCTCACATCGACTGGAGTTTATGATCATGGAGGAGGAGCTTACGCCGATTCTCTGCATTGATTCGATCCGGTCTCTCGTTTTTGTTTTTTCTAGTCATAGTCATTTCGTGCTTGTTTGCCAGGGAGAAATCGATAATAGTGACCAGTATCCGTCTGTGTTTAGCCCAGCTTTGGGAAAGTTCGAGGGAACCGCTCACTTGTCCTTAGATCCTTTGATATGAGCGACAGCGCTATCGGCTAGCAGAGTTCCATTTGCACTGCATGACAGGTCCTCCGCTGAATTAAACAAATTAATGAGAGAGGGTGTGATTGCCAAAGTAGACGAGAAAGCCGACTGGGTTAGTCAGGTCGCAATCATTACGAAGAAGACGGGCGAACTGCGTGTGTGTATTGACCCAAAACCACCGAATGAGGCTTTGCGTAGAGAGCATTATGCGCTACCTACCCTAGAAAACATTTTGCCGCCTTGGCCAAAGCTAAGTGTTTCACGATGGACGTCTCTTCGGCATTCTGACACGTGGTTCCAGCTGATGAATCCAGTTTCATTACTACGTTTGCAACCCCGGGCGTTATCGTTGGCTGCGTTTACCATTTTGCTTGAGGGTGTCGAGTGAAATATTTCAAAAGCGATTGGTGCAAGCGGTAGATGATTTAAATGGTGTAAACTACGTGCCAGACGATGTTTTGATCTATGGCTCAACAGAACGAAAGCATGATGCTAATCTCCACCGTTTCTGACAATATTGTGTGCAAAAGAACATCAAGCTTAAACGTGAAAAAATTGAGCTTCGGAAAGACGAGGTGATTTTCCATGGACATTTACTAACAACAAATGGGGTCAGGGTCGATCCAGAAAAAATTAAGGCAGTTCGAGAGATGCCGCCTTCTAATGACGTGAAGTGAATTCAGCGCTTGAGCCGTTTTATTCCAAGACTCGCTGATATCATGAAGCCCATCAGGAAGTTAACTCACAAAGGAGTAAAGTGGAGTTAGTGAAAAGTACAGGAAACCGCATTCGAAACTATTAAGCACCTCATCAGCAACGCTTCTGTACTCGGGTATTACGATCCAACGCAGCCTTTGGAGGTACAGTGTGATAGTAGCCAAGACGGAATAGGTGATGTTCTCCTGCAGAATGGAAAACTTTTGGATTTCCGCAGTCGAACACATCGTGACCAAGCAGCGCTATGCGCAGATTGAGAAGGAGATGCTTGCGGTAGTTTATGCCATTTAGCGTTTCAACGGTTATACTTTCGAAAGAAAGACAACGGTGTGTACCAACCACAAACCGCTTGTTTCAATAGCCAGGCAACCGCTACACGTCGTTCCTCTTCGCCTTCAGCGTATGCCTATCCGGCTTCAAAAATACGACATGGATATTGTGTATACGCCAGGTGCACAGATGTTCATTGCGGATACACGGCTCATCTGCCAGTACCCGAGCATAATCCGGAAGAGGTCGAAGCAGTAAACTTAGTACAGCACCTGGCAGGGACAGATCATCTAAAGAAAATAATCTGCCACACAGAGGTAGATGCAACGCTTTTAGCTTTGGGAGACGTTATTCTACATGGGTGACAAGAGACAAAGAAGCAGCTACCGAAGGAACTAATACTCTGCTTCAATTTTCAGTATGAGCTCTCTGTTTGTGATTGTTTTACTGTTCAAGGGGATCCGTATTCTGATTCCGTCATCGCTCCGAGGAGTAATGCTGTTCATCGCGCTCACCTTGGTGCCAGCTATACCATTAACCGAACAAGTGAATTGAGCTTTTAGCCAGGAATGATGGGTCAAGTAAAAGATCATGTATTGTGAGGTAAGCCGTTCACACGAAAGCCGGCAGACGAGGGAACCATTGTTGCTGTATGATGTCCCTGATCGACCCTCGCAGAAGGTGGCGGTGGATTTATTCAGTAATAAGGGGAAAGGTTACTTATTCACGGTGGATTACTATAGCGATTATTTTGAAATCGATCTACTCAGCACTACGACCACAGAGGTAGTACTCAACAAGCTTAGATGTCAGTTCGCGTAACACGGTATACCGGAGGAGCTGGTCTCCGACATTGGGTCCCAGTTTACCAGCGGTGCGTGACAGGCGTTCGCAACCAAGTGGGAATTCGTGCACCAACAAACCATCCCATATCACAAACAGTCGAATGAAAAGACGGAGCCGGCAGTGAAGCCGGCCAAGCGACTGTTATCAAAGGCTAGAGCATCCGGCGAGGACTCGTACCTCATGCTATTGGAGAATCGCAACGCTCCTTCAACGAATATCGGTTTGAGCCCAGTGCAGCGTCTATACAGCTGAAGGACTAGAACGCTGCCACACTGTTGCGCCCAGTTTCTACACAGCATGTAAGGTTACAGAAGAATCTGGGACGACGAATGACCATTCAGAGACGGTACTATGACCACGGTGCACTGGTACTGCCTGAGCAAACAGTGGGAGAGGAAGTGTGGGTTCAGCCATTACCCGATAATCAAAAGCGGTGGAAGAAAGGTGTGGTGACTGCGAGGGTCGCTGCCAGGTCATACGAAATAAACGTTGGAGGCAAAACGTTCAGAAGAAATCGAGTGCATTTGAGACGACACCGGAGACAACAATGTGGATTGGGAGTGGAGTGGCAGATGGCGTGGGGAAAAGAGACCACGGCCGTAGCTACAGCGAAGACGACGCGGATTGGCAAGGTGTACGGGGTTTCTAGCAAGATAAAGGTGCTAGAACACGAAAAATGGGAGGATGTGATGGTAGTATCAGATCAAAGTGAGCAGCTGGACCAACGAAGCGATCCAAACAGCCAATGGGAGGCGGACGTGACGGATTCGTTTTCTGGACTCGGATTGGACGATATTCGTGTGAGTGATTCACGGTTTGGTTAACTGGAGCAAAAGTGGGACCTCATTGACTCAGAAGGGTCGTTAGTTATGGACTTGAACCGGCAATTTATCTCGAGGAGTTTGGCTTGCTAAACATGCTGTAATTTTCGCCGAGCTGTCTTTGCCGAATAAACGCTTGTTTCTGAAGGACTGAGTTCTGCAACATCGGCCTTGCCCTCATTCTCCCCACACGTTTTTCAATCTGGCATTGCCATGTCATCATGGTAGTTTTTTGTCTGCGTCAGATTTCCAGCTCCATTTTTTCTGCCATACTGATTTTTCCTTTGGGTTTATATCATTTTTCGATGTTCGTTATCGCTTTTCTGACTTTGGTCACCCTAGTGGAAGCCCGTTGTCTACTTACGATTAGTTCACTCAGCACGAACTATCCACCTCCGTAGCCAATGTCTTTCAAGTTGTGCCTTCACCCCGGGCTTTTTCAATCCTTTTTACCTGTTTGTCTTTTGACAGTCATCCGACGATGATGATATTGAGATGATCGATTCTCTTCGGGACCTACCGAGTAGAACGAGTATTTCCGTTGAATCGAAGCCATGTCAGGCTCGGTTTGATTTATCTGGCTTGTTGGTTCATCCGGACGCAGTTGTGGACACCCACCTTGGTCTGCATCACCATGGTGATGAACCGGAGGTGAGTGAATTTGTTTTGGATAGGTAAATAGCTACGCTCCATTGTCGACCGGCACTACAACTCTAGCACCTTGTAGTTGTTTGTCGTTTTAACAATTGATGTTTGAAGAACTTAGGCCGTATTGTTGAGGTCCTAAGCGTGCCCATTTTGCACACACGCATTAGGGTGTTTTTCAGTGGGACCGTTTCTTTTGTACTCCACAATTGCCTTGAAGTTACCTAGAGAGCTCAGTGGCCCTCAGATCTCGTTTTTTTGGTACCTGACAAATCGATCTAGGTCATCGTTCTCACCCATTGATTATGGATTGTGAGCGTTAAAAGCGAACGATTTCGTTTATTCATCACCCGGCTTCATACAATTTTACAAACTATTCAAGTCAAAATAGGCTTCATACACCTAAACAGGTGCATTATCAGCGTTTACACTATCAATGCGGATACATTGAATGAATGTGACCAGTTAGAAATACATAAACACAAATTGAAGAATTTAATAATCAACGACATGTGGATGTCATTTAAGCAACCGCATGCGCAAAACGTTTGTGACTTTCATAGGGTCGACAAGAAAGCGTGACAAAAGGCAAGATTGTGTTACAATACGAAGAAGTGCGAGAGTATAAAATACGAAATTTCGAGCGTGTGTGGGAGACATAACGCTTGTGAAAGGTCATCATCATCACAACTCGAAATATCTTTAATCGATCGCATCATCAAAACATAGTCCTTTTGCAGCAGTCCAAGGGAAGATTACTGGGGAACAGTACAACCAATGGTGTATAGTATACGTGCAGTTACAAATCTCCAACTTTAGCTTCCCTGTACGGAGAACTTCTTAAGTCGGAAAGCATAAAAAGATAACCTTCTGAACTTGTCAAACGTCTCAAAAATATGCATGGACCAAGAGCGATTTTGTGAAAATTAAATACCGACCTGATTATGGACCAGTTCAGAAGTTCGTGTAAACCACACTAAAGCCTAAACGTCTCAACGGAGAGAGACAACATCGTCATCATACTTACATCCTTTGAATGTTTATGGTATGGGTGACTCTCGACATATACGGAGAATAAAAGGGGTGAGAGGTCCCACCTTGCAAAACACCAGAGTCAGCGCGGAGCATAGAGGGACTTTTGCCGTTTAACTGGGTAAAGTGCATGCGATCAATGAAAAAGTCACGCAACAACTTACAAATATCAGGGTGGACTCTGTTCAAATAAAGTAGGTTGTGTAGAACTGATCGGTCAAGACTCCCAAAGGTAGTTGAATAGTCAAGAAAAAGAAGTCGTGCGGACCTGCACTTTTTCTCCAGCGCAGAGGCTATTGAATGCACAAGGTACGAAACAGCATCTAGCGTAGAGTGCTGCGGTCTAAACGCAAACTGACAGACATCATCAGCGCGAGTGGCTGTGGAAATCCGTGGAACCAGTAGCTTTTCGAGGTCTTTTAACAGGACGGAAGTACAAGCAATAGGCCGATACTTTGAGGTTCGTTTTAAGGAATTGGTGTTATTCTGGCTGACCTCCAGATGTCGGGGATGGCACCGGTCGTGAGACACTTGTTAAACATAACCTTCCGGGGTAATGAACATCCATTATCCGTTGGACTGCGCTAGATCTTGTCTTCAGTCAATTAGTGAGATGTTTATATCAGCTTTTTTGGCATCAATAATTCGAAACAATCCGGTCTTTCTGTCTTCAGATTTTAGCATAGAGCTGGGGTGGCATCATTTTATGCGAAAATGGACCATCTTTTTAACTACCAAATCTCAGCTCCATTACCTTAGCACTTTAACTGCCGGCCGTGACACGGCCCTTTTGCTTGTGACATTATCAGCCACCAACGCAGCGAATACTCTAGTATTCGCTGAGTACTCTGTACACTGAATACAGTGCGATCAGATGGTCGGTCAGGCGCGAACCAAAGCGGAGCCTGTGGGTCAGTCATGGAATTTAGTGGATCCAAAAGGTCAAAAAGGGAAGATATGAGCGCGGCTTACCATAGTTTTTCACTTCATCCGTTCCGTCGATGCCAGACATTCACCCGTCAGTGAAACAGCCAGTAATAGCACGGCATTCCCATTCAGTGACCGTTCTGTTGACGACGCAAGTACGATTATGGTCAGTTAGCTTCCGCGCTCGTGTTGCGCCTGTTTCTAGATTCGATCACAACTGCCATTCGTCTCTGCGCCATTCATCCAGTTATTGTGGTGCCATCGCTATTCAGCCATGGTGATGTGGTCTTCTGCAAGTCATTTACAGCATCCCGACTGTGGCAGTACGCTAAATAAATATGTAAGTTGTATATTCTCGTGTACGGCGCGACACACTTGTTACTGCATGTTCATGTAATTGATAACCTTTTCTAGCGCGCTGGACTGAGCGCATTTAACTACGGTCCTAGTGATCGCAGTGACCAAGGTGGACCTCAATGTGAATCGCGGTCTACATTGAGGTTGCTCGTCGCAATCCAATCACACAACCTGTAATCCAAAATTGACCCTCCATTTAGTCATTCACCGTTGTGACAAACGTTTCCCGCCGTTCCCCGGTAGCCAAAGGGTAGAGGTTTCCGCTACTATTCCAATGGTCGGGGCTTCGGGGCCTGTTATCTACACCTGATGAGATGAAATGACATCGAAACGCGTCGTAGTTGTGCAGTGTCTTCGAGAGGACAACTCCCAAACAAAGAGATAGTATGTTCTCAACATAGCGAGGCACGCCTGATTAGGCATGATCATAGCAATGCTAACACGAATGATTGGCAAATGCACAATACTGTTGCAAGGTTAACAGTAGTCTATTGGATCTGTGGTGTGTATTTGTATGTGGGCATGAATGTTCGGAGCTGTGTTGCTTGAATTTGTAGACGTGACGTGATTGTGTTCTGTCAGGCCGTCTGCATGTGAAAGGGAACTTTTGCACTGCATGACTGGCATCCGTGTAGTGTGTATGACAGTGACTTTAGTTAGTAGCGAGTCACATCCGCTACTTCGCAGTGTTGTTAAGCAGATATTTGTGAATTTTATGGGGAGAACGCTTGCCAAGCGGAAACCCATCACTTCCTAACAAGTTCGCATTAAAGACATCAAATGCCTGACCGTGTATGACTAGTGGTGATTACGGAGTATTGCTCAGATCTATTGGGAATCATGAGAGCAGTGCTGAGGTCCTCCAGTTGGTTTTTGGCTAGAAGCCTTTTGGTTCCTCACTCGAGTGTTTACTCTGTCCTACTCACCTACGTCGGCTGGGATATGTCTTCCGTATGCCCGTTGGCGTGCATTATACACCGTGGCTGGACCAAGTTGGGCGAAACCGCGAGGTGGCCAGTCCATGACGTGGCTTAGATGCATGAAGAAATTGACTGAGAGACTTAGTCAGGCTGGTACTTGTGCCGTCTTCTTGGATGAGAGCCTCGGGATGGTCCACACCAATGGTTGGAGACCGTATCAGACATTGCGCAATCCCGCAGTCAGTGGCGTTCCTGCATTTGGTTTCTTGCAACTGGTTGCTACTTTTCGTCGCATTCTGATTAGTTTAACGCACTTCCTTCTTGCTTCCATTTTCTTTGCGTTCTATTTGCATTCAACCCCACTGTCTTGCCGTTGCTATCTATTGTTATTCTTTCGATGTGAGTCGTAGCAACTGGATCTACTTCACGTCGTTCAGCTGAACTGAATTGAATGGGGAATTTTCTTCATCTCAACGAACGCCGCTTGTTTTCGGAAAATCGTCCGATTATTCTTCTTGAAACCAAACGTGAAATGTCTGCATATTTCTTAGCCACATCTTTCCGAACAAGTATTTCCAAGGGAAGGAAGCAATTTACACAATCGAACACACCTTCAGATTCGATGAATTTTGCTGCATTTGGCCTGTTGTACGTATGACGTTGCAGTATCTCCTGCAGAGTGAAAAGATGGCCTACACAGTCCAGCCTAAGACAGATCTTATGGAATCCGAGATCCCCCTCCTACAGAGGGTGATGATGCGGTCAGCCACCTATACGCTACCGGTAACTGGATTGAACTTTGCTGTGACTCAACGGTTTGCATATCTGTTTGACTCACAGAGCTATACTGTGTGATTGCACATGGCGCTTCGAGAACCATTCCTATTAGATTAGTCAGTGTTAGAAAAATGTCGGAAATATGACAGAAATCTTAACTTAAATTCGTCTTTCCCTACTTAACCGCGCATAGCTCCCCATTCCATCCTTCTCATCAAGCCATCTGTGTGGTTGCGAAAACTCGGCTTGCTTGCTCACCAAAGCACCACCGGACTGCTTCACTGTTTTGTATTTCATCTGTCTAATTTGGTCGTTTTAACTAGTTCGCTTCTCATTGTTTGTAATTTCATAATTTTATGAAAAGTTTTTCCCAGCTGTATATAATTATGTGCTCCGGGTCTGTTTCACTCTACGGGCACGTTCAATCTAGGTTTATTTCGTGATATTATATGCACTATGACTGAGCTAACTGAACTCATAGGTATTATTGCGTTCAATGTTTCCCGAATACCCACACATTCCTTTTTCAGCGTGCTGGATACACCGTTGGTGAACTCTTTCACCTTTCCCGTTCAAGTGTGCCTGCTCAACGTCGACTTGCTTTGGCAACTCTGTCCGCCTCCTTAATTACTTCCCGCCGTGGTCTACATGTACTCGGCTTGGCGCCGCCTTCTTCTCCCAGTTTGATTCACGGCTTACTCTCATCCAGTTTGCGGACTGAAGGTCTCACCGGCAACGATGGCATAGGTGGCGGTGATGATGATGGTGCTGGTGTGGTTTTTCTACTCCGATGGTGTCTCGATGAATCGGTGGCTGCTGTAACCAGAGTCGGTGCCGTGGCTGCTGGTGTAGGACATCCCGACTCGGTGGCCACAGGAATCGCAGGTGGTGCTTCTCTCAGTCTCACTGTTGAATGCATTCGATGCTTTGCTAATTTGCTATCAGACAGCTTTGGCGAAGTAAGTTTCATCTTAATCTATTTGGCTTCACCGTCACCTTCAGGCGCTTTTGAGTGACTCATTCGATTGGGCCTTCCGGATGACCACATTCAGACACTTATCCATTGCACCTAGTAACAATATGCCAAATAAATTCGTCTCTCGATCACAAAATGAGTCCGATTCCCAAGAAGAGGATATCAACCATTCCAAGGTAGCATCCCGTGATCCGGTGCACTTTTTGTTCACCCACAGTCATTTGGGCCAGCGTCTCTGCTGGCTCTTGTCGGGCGAGCATGGAGAAGCCAAAATAAAACTATCCGCGGATGCCGTTGGTGTGTGGCTTCCTGCCTTGCTTATGCGTGCTGTGCGCCACTCCCCTGAACTGGCCTACCGTGTGAGTCACTGGCTTTACCCCTATACCTTCATCCAAGACAGCTGCTGCCGTCCGTCATATCACCTACTCGTTGTCTTTTTTCACAGGTGTTCATAATCCCCAACCTATTCAAGACATTGATGTCACACTTTCTTCCCAAATGCTCCGAAGATGCTTCATCACCAAAGGGTTCCCTTGCCGATAACGCTGTGGATCGTCCGAATAAACTGGTTGAGTCTTTCGGTATCCCGTTTCCTGCGGTCTTGCAACTTTGTCGGATTACACTGGAGACTAGTGGAAGTATAAGGTTGGCGATGGTAGGTTATCGGTTTTGTATTTTCATGTTTCGCTGGTTATTTCGCCATCTTACGAAACTAGAGCCATAATGTATGCTCTCTCAATGCATTTTTGCCTCGGATAGTTGCACGGTTGAATTTGCAATTTAGTCGTCTCTTCGATTTCTTCTACACTCATTGTCGAAATCAACTAACTCGAACTCTGCTTACAAATCGACGTTTCGGTTATGGGATTAGAGGAACTGCTTTAGGTTTGTGCGTAGATTGAGTCGTTGAACTAATTGTTGCCCATATTGAATCTTCTTCACACCTCGTTTGAGCCAAATCCCTTGCGCATACCTTACTACTCGACTTCGTCTGATACTCTGGGATCCCGCTGTATGACCGAGGGAAAAGTTCCTTTTATCAATCTGCCATTTGGGACGTTCTTTGAGATTCAACCTGTTTACTACATCAAATTTTATTGTGGAAATTTATCTTTTTACTATTCCACACGGAACAAACTGAAAGTAGTCGGAGCGGTTTGAGGTATTTTTTAAAGAAAAAGTAGAAAGGCATTATCAATACGCTGGCACGCAGCACCGACGTTTCGCTGCCGCACAACCACCACTTGTCACACGTGGGCTACGGGTACTGTGAGGATCATCCTTCCCCTACGCGGGCTCGAACCCGCGCCGTCAGATTACAAGCTCGTCACGTTTAGGCTACGGGCCGGTCTCAAATAGTCTCAGTTTGACAGGCGCCGCAAATTAGGAAAATTTCCGGACATACATTTCCTCTCATCAGGACTCGTTAGCAGCACGCAGTTTGTTAAATCATACGAAATTAGCAACTCTTATCTTACTGAGAAGCGCCAACTTTTACTGCAAGGCATCGGGTAGCTACGGTAGTCTGTTATATCTAATTACTAGCTGCGGTCTGACGCGGCTCATCCTGTTACAATGCACTTTTTACCTTGATGATACGGCCGTTCAACAGTTGTCCAAGTATATGAGTGTAGTCGGTGGTGAATAGCTAGTTGGATGAATTGCTCAACCGATCATACACTATAAAATCCGATTGCATTTAACTTTCCTATCGCTTAAAATGACGAACTCCCTGCTTTCCTACCTCATCCTTGTTGCTGTCCCCGAAGTGCTTGTGAACCAACATAGATTTTACCTCAGAAATTGAGATAGTTCTGCTTCGATATTATGTATATGTAATTGATCAACTTACTGAATTTACAGACCTTTAATCAATGTGATAATCTGCTATAAGGCTCGCTCAGATGTGTATCTGTTTAACTTACTATAGACTTTCTTAGATTCACCTTTTACGCCCTCACAACGAGACTGCTATTCACTATTGTTCAAATTGAGTTTGAGGATCGATGTATTAAATACCCTGACCTTCGGAATTTTTGTCGATTGTGCCTCTATTCACTGTGACCATCATCCACCTCAACTCCTGGTTTTCTTGCTTGCTGGCAATAACTCAGGCTTTTAATCACACTCACTTAACCGGCTCTTTTCACTAACCTATTGCTCGTGAAGTGCATGGTTCATTCAAGGCTGATGCGTACGGTCTTTGACATGGCAAAATGTGATCGTTGTATTCATGTCGCGATTGCTACAACTTTTATTCCGTTGATTCGAAACCACTTCCGGTCTCTTTCACTCAGGTGAATGATCTCCAAATCATTGAACGTTGTATTTCTTACCTCGTTCCTTGCAACCTTGGGTCACAAACAACGGATCCAGACACCACCACTCCAAATTCATTGGTCGCGCACTTGCCCCAGTGTTTGCCGCTAAAATTAGCCCTCAAACTGCAGATTGAATCCCTGCACTGTCTATCTTCCTGCTTATCTCACACCAAAGAAAGTGTAGGATCCGTCCCGTCGCATGTCGCTATTATTTTGTGGTAAGTTTTTATAAATAGTCCTCTCTGTCTTAAATACTCATGCGCTTTTCATATCCGTCCACTGGACCTTAGTGTGTGAGTGTGACGGTTTGCCTACCCCGTCACCCATTGTACTTTACTGGGTAGGGCCCTTCGGCCCCCTGATAGCTTTTCCTACCAGGCTGGTCAACGGTTAGAGATCAGATGCCCTATTTCGGCTTTAGCAGTCGGGTAGAATCTTGTCTGCTGACACTTACTACTGCTACTGCTACCACTACTACTTGCTACTATTACTACTACTATATATATGTTATTTGTAAGTAGTAGGTGGATTTATTAGGTTTTTGTGTAGGTTCTTCTCAGTTAGACACATGCAGACAGCCACCACACATTCAGGAAAGTGCTAGACGGCTGCTTCGTCCTATTGGGACTCGTCAGTAGCGCGCACCCGCCGATTTCTGCCGAATTCGAATCCACGACCTTACTCTTGGTTACTTGGGTTCCTTTGTACAGCCGTTTGGGTGCAGTTCGTTTCACAACATCAACTAAGGCTGATTCACGAAGTAATACAAGACGCTGTTTGTTTGTATTTCCTAGTTATACTCCTAGCAGCTGCAGTTAGGATGCTGCCAAGTCAAGTCAAGTCAATAAAAGCTTTATGTACCCAAAAGGTTGCATATTCAGCATTTACATTATCAACTATAAATTTACCAATGGGTTACCATTAACAATGTAAAGGTTACCATGTATAGAATAATGAGAATTCACTGCCACTGATCGATCGGGCAACGATTCCAACAACTTGGACTAAAGCTTCGGGATTTTTATCCATCGAAAACGGAAAAGATTTCATAAAAATGTTTCTTCAAAATTCGTTTCATTTGACGTAGCATTTTGTGTCCAAAGACTATAGATTGCGGATCGTGCGCGATATCTGGCGTGTATGTCCAAAGTTGAATGGGGTAAAGAGCCTCAGTGACTCGTGCAATACTGAGATATACACAGTAGATAAGGTAAAAATGATGTTCGGCGAAAAAGGCAACGACCGTAGTTCTTGCTGGGGATATGAATGGGCAATTGGGTTGTCAGAGCTCTTCATGAGCTCGGCTATGTGGACTAAACTCCTACGGGACAACGGCGAGCGGCTGTTGTAACTGTGTGCGGTGTACCAGCTGTTTCTTAGTAGCACTGCTTTCAGACACAGTGGGAGTCGAAGTACTATTTGGTGTACCCCTGCAGCTGGCCAACATTAGACCCCAACTACCCATGTTGCCCTAAGTTACACGTGGCGTGCTTCCTTCTTGAATTGCCCCTCGTTCTGGAATACGTGAGTCCAGTTTGACTATGTCTTTGTACACTGTCATTTTTCCAGGAATTTTACTGAGACGCATAACAAAGGTCTCCATCGATTGGCAGCTAAGAAGTTATCTCAGCCTTCGGTCAGATAAGCCTACCAATATGCCCTACGTACCGAACTTTCGCTCCCTTGTTCTAATGACTCTGAGCTTCAGTGTAATAGGATCTCGGTCGCCATGGACGATGAAGGAGCCTCTGCTTGAGACACAGTCAACCGTCACCGCATCAGTCACTACATATCCGAGAGGTCTGTGAACATGCTGGAATCCATAAGAGAACTCCCGGCTGGCTCTAAGCACAATGTGACCAGACTGACAATTAGGAGCGAACCAAAACGGAGCCTATGTGCTGACAAGGAAGCCTGGTGGACCAGGCGGGCTTAAGAAATAGTGGAAGTGGCAGCCCTAGGCAATTCTCACAAGCCCTTCCAATTGATCCGCACCTCTGATCCTAGAAAACCAGGCGTCAACGACACAATCGGAGACAGCCGGTGCTCCTTGACCTCTTCCTACTTAGATGATACAGGCTGAGTCATAACCAGTTAGTTTATAGGCTCTGTTGGACCTGAGGTCCGAAACGCGACCACAGCTCCCAATCGTTTTTTTGCTGCTGTCCCGGATTTCATTCCACCTGCACTATATATATATATATATATATATATATATATATATATATATATATGAGTCAGTGAACTGGCCATGTGTTAGACCCGTAGTCTTTCGGGTGTTCATGTAATCGAAGGCTTTGACTGAGGACCCGAGTCGTTCTCCTGTCAGGTGTCGGCGCCCTGCCAGTATCCTAATCCATCCTCTCCGGAGGATAGGAAGTGGTCGATGGCCTTCTTCCCGTAAAACCTAGCCATGGGAGACAACAGGTCTACGGCTTATAAGCTCACAGCTCGATTGGCTTAGAGCACGAGTGCCACGCATTGTCTCTGATGGTGGGAGGACACCTCCGGGTGTTCAGTGGTTTGCTACTGCCAGCCTCAAGCCAGACAGTCCCTGGTCAGATTGGTGTAAACCTGCCAAAACCCACCTGCGTCTGGCTCTGGTCGCAGGTGCGTATTCTACTACGGTCGCAAAACATATATAAATCGTTCCAGTACCTCAAAGACTGCGTGTGACGGCCGTCAAGCAGATCCCCAACTGTCTCTGCAATCACACTCCCGAGCTGGATCTGCTCCCCACTGCCTTGTGGGTCAGGCTACTGAGCCAAATGCTCCGGGCGGAGTCCCTCAAGCAAACCTCCAAATCACCCACTGCCTTATTGGTCAGACTATTGAGCCAAAGGCTCCGGGTGGAGTCCCTCAAGCAAACCTCCGAAGCACAACCGCCACCTCGCGTGCGATTGTCCACTTAAGCAATCGTATGCCTGCGCGCAAAGCACTCAACATCGAGTGCTGGAACGTGCGCACACTACTGGATCGGAATTCCAACGAGCGCCCGGTGCGGCGCACTACACTCGTCGCGATGGAACTGGCGCGCTACCACATCGATATTGCCACGCTCATTGAAACCTGGCTCGCTGAGCAAGGACCAAGCATGAAGCAGGTGCTAGCTACACATTCTACTGGGTGGGCATCGCCGACTCAGCACCACGTGATCATGGGGTCGGATTTGCAATATCCGATCGCTTGCATGGCCAGCTGGTGGGTGCAACAACAGGCATCAGCGCGCGACTGATGACTGTTCGCCTACGACTCGGAAGAGGTAAGTTTGCCACTTTTATAAGCACGTACGGTCCGACCATGTGTTATCCTGATGACACGCATGATCAATTCTACACTCAGTTATCCTCCGTGATACGGTCTGTGCCGAGGAGCGACCGACTATTTCTGCTGGGTGATTTCAATGCGCGCGTTGGGCGTGATGCGATGCATCGGTGTGGACAGATGTTATCGGTCCGCATGGCATTGGCTCAGCGAATGCGAACGGTGACAGGCTGCTCTCACTGTGTGCCACTCACGGCCTGACGATCACGAACACTCGGTTTGCACTGAGTGCGAGTGATATAGCAACCTGGACGCACCCACGGAGTGGTCACGCTCACCTGCTCGACTATGTCATCGTACGTCAGCGTGATATGCGTGAAGTGCGCATGACACGTTTACTGCTTGGAGCTGATTGTGGCACTGATCACAAGTTGGTGCGGACCAAACTGCACAAATATTTTCGTAAATCAATGTATTGCACTCGGCGTGAATTTATCATTCTCTCCCTCGGTACTGTGGTGAAACGTATTGAGCTGGAGAAGGCGATGGCTGCATGTCTGTGTAATGTGGACTGCATAGCCACAGTGGGCTACCTGTGGCACCACATTCGCGACCAGGTGACAGCTGCTGCCGAGGAGATCATCGGGTGCGCCAAATGTAAGCGGTCTGATTGGTTTGATGAGAACAATGCGACAATTGACGCATTGGTGGGTGAGAAGAATGCAGCATTTGTTGCACATGTGGCAGACCCCAGTGACTTGGGGAAGAGTAGTCAGTTTCGAAAACTACGACGGCGACTGACCCGAGAGCTCCATCGCATTAAAAATGCATGGTGGACGGTGAAGCCGAAGCAGATGGAATGCTACGCCGAAGGCCGTCAACACAAGGAATTCTTTGACTCTTTGATGGCGGTGTATGGACCGAGATTGGAGCCGCTGAAGACGCTGATGGATACTTGTTCAGGCGCTACTTGCACACAGACTGCAGACATGATGCAGATCTGACGAAAACACTTTGACTATCTCTTGAACAGCTGTTCACAGATTGACTAGCCTACATTGAACGGCCTCAAGCAGCATGATTTGAAGGCGTGTCTGGCGGACACGCCGACACTGGATGAGACGCAGAGAGCACTTGCTCAGCTGCGAAACGGCGAGTGTGCCGGGGCCGACGGGATCCTGCCTGAAGTATTGAAACATGGCGGACCCGCGTTGGTGACTGCGCTGAACATAACAGACCGCGTCAAAGTCTACGGTGATTTGTCAGATGCCTTTCCGACAAGTGGCGTTCGTCAGGGTTGTCCGATTTCGCCGTTTTTGTTTGACTTCGTCGTGGACTGCATCATGGAGTGTTTCCTTGCGGAGGCTCACCATGCATGCATTTAGGTGCTGCCTGGTAAAAATCTAGTTGATCTTGATTATACAGACAATATTGCCCTGTTTTTTAACGATGTTTAGGCGGAGCAGTCAACCCTGAGTAGCCTCTCTAGAGAGGTCCCATCATTTGGTATGCGCTTCGAACCTTCCAAGTGCGAAGTGTTGCTACAGAACCACCAGCCACTTGAGGGTCTATTGACTTGATGGCGAAGAACTCGAGGTAGTTGATCGCTTCACCTAACTTGGCAAGTGCATCGGCAACGATGGGCATAAAACGACTGAACTCAATTCACACACTGCAAAAGCTATTATTGCCTTTTTTGAACCCGCGATATCTTTGGCGTCAGAAGATAATTTCCCTCGGTCTGAAAGGCCTTGTTTACAAGGCCATGGCAATAGCCATCCAACTATGTGGGAGTGAGTCTTGGCCCCTTCAATCTGAAGACCTGTGGCGCCTTCGTGCCTTTGAGTATCGTTGTCTGCCAAACATTTCTGGTGTCGGATGGCACCAGCGTGTCCGCAACGCTGATGTACGTAGGCGAGTGCTAAGCAGTGATAACTAAGTTAGTTCCTTAGAA